GAGAGAGATATTGTTATAAAAATATATATATATATATATATATATATATATATACATATCCATATATATATATATATATATTGACTCTAATACTTTATCATTACAGCAATTCTATGTTATATAGATCTTATAGAATTACTTAACTAACTTCATGCTCTGTAGAGTTCTCTTCTAACTTCTTGCAATATCTGTAGGACTTATAACGAATTCTGAATCAGTTACAACAGCCTCCTAACAAATCTCAATAGCCCCTCTCAAACTCATGTGTGGTGGAACTACAGTGAGCTTGTTCTTCAGAAAATGAAATCTAGGAGCTGCAAGAGCTATTGTGAATATTGTCAACTGTTTGATCAGAAAAGAGAACGTGTTGAACCATGGTATGTCTATAAAATGGATTTATTTTCGCTCCTTATTTGACTTTTAGTTTAGTTTCGTCTTATTTAAGAGAAAGAAGAAAATAGGTTAAGACTTGAGATAAATTAAAATTAATAAGTTAATAGTTTACATAAGTTAATAAATATGCTAAATTACTGTTTTCGTCCATAACTTGTCTGGTTATGAATCATAACTTGACAAGTTATTGTCCATAAATTATCTGGTTATGAATCATAACTTGACAAGTTTGTTCATAACTTATCTAGTTATGAACCATAACTTGACAAGTTATGACCTATTAATTTCTATAACTAAAAATTTACCTATATACTTTCTTAAACTTTTCATATTGGCATATTTCTTACTATTTTTGCTTATTTTATTTAGGTTTTCCCCTCTAATTAATTATTTTATCCTTATAATTTTTTTTTACTTGAATATTTGTGTAGGTAAATTAGGTATAAGGTGAAATATGGAAAAATTGAAGCTTGATTGGGATTAAAGAGATCAAAAAATGAATAAATTCAGGTCTCGTTTATCTCACTAATTTAAAATTTTAATTATAATTATATTTTTTTATTATAATAAAAAATTCTCACATAAAATTATATTTAAACTTAAAATAAAAATTCAAATATGGAAATGTGATATCAGAATTAAAACAGTTCCAAACTCTCACCACAAGTAGGCGTTTGTAGCAACTGTAACGCGCGAACCCAGCCGTCCGATGGACTTCAATCTCGCCACGCCACTCTCCTTTATAGCCTGTTCAAGCCTCTGCAGCGACAGCGTCTCACAAATGGAATTCCGCCACGCGTCGCTTGCAGCCTTCCTCTTTAGTCAGCGTGCCGGATCCCATGTTCCGCGCTTCTTGTTTTCTCGCGTGCGCCCTCAGCTCGTGTATTGCTTTCCTTCCGCCCAGTCAATTTTTTTCCATTTGGCAGCCTGCGTCAGTAGGCCCTAAATGCTCTCGTTTTACTTTCTTGCGACGTGGAATTTAGGGCTTTATATATCTTCCAGCCACAATGGGGGATTTTCAAGACTCCGTTTCTTCATCTACACAGCCTTCCTCTTTAGTTTTAGTTGGGATTTTTGTTTTCAATAGTTCTTGGGGAGATATTAGAGTTGTTTGGTTCATGGATACTTCAAAGAACATAGTTTGAACTAAAATTTAAGTGTTTGTTCTTTTGCATGAATTGAATTGTGTATGTGAAAGAAAAATACTGTAATAAAAAAATTAAATTTAAATTTTTATGAGAGAAATACTGTAACAATATAACTTAAGTCATAAAATGAACATACCCTAAATTTTTATAAGAAAAATATTGTAGCAGAACCATTTAAATCATGGTTCAAACCCCTCCACCAAACATACTCATTATGTTGAAGATCAAGAAGAAGAGATTAAAAATTTGGGAGTCACACTTGGAGAATTGTGACACCTCCCTGGGTTTTTCTTTTTAAATATTCCATCTTTAATTTTTGTAATTTAAGAAGGTTCCAACCTTTAATTTTTATTGATTTATTTTTATTTATGGAGTAGTTGTTTATCTAGAGCTAAATGTAGGCGGATTATGATTGTTTAGATTTTTTTATTAATTCTTGTTTTATTCTTAAATATATTGAGTATTTCAATTTATACTTAATGCTTGTGTTTTTCCTGATCATACAATTGCATGATTTGGTATTTGATTTGAGACTGAAAAGTGATAATTGAATTCATCCAGGATTGAAATACCATGAGATAATTGTCATAGGATAGAGATATTTATGAACCTTGTGCAGTGTTTATGAATTTCTTGCTCTTAATGAATTTTGTTAGTTTTAGATTTTTGACAGAGATGTAGAATTTGCTAGTTGAAATATTTTATTAATGCTTGAGAAAGATTAATGAATAAATTAGAGAAATTCTCTGTCAGGATAGGAAATAGACATGAATTAATTTAAATTGGAATTTTCATATATGATTAATTTTGGTGAGTTGTAAACCTAAGGAATATAGGATATTTATTTTATTTTTATTATTTTTAGTTTAATTTTAGTCGTTTGAATAATCTTTGGGTTACCGACTTCGGTACTTAATTGAATTAATGCAATTCTCGTGAGAACCCACTTCTCTATTACTTGTCACGACATCGTGCGCTTGTGATTTTCTTGTGATTTTCGGCAACAACCACAAGTTGCTTGTTGAAAATCTTATCGCAAACAAGTACAAATCAAGTTCAACATGCTTTGTGAGAGCATGAAGAACAGCCAAAGCAACAATACTAAGATCGTCAACCCAAAGAACAGGAGGCCTAGGTAGAACAACTTTTAAATCAGCTAAAAAATATTGGAACCAGACAACATCAGAGACAACATGAGCAAGAGTTCGATACTCAGCTTCAGTACTATACTGCAAGACAAAGTACATTGCTTCTTAGCGCTCCAAGTAACAAGATTGTCGCCAAGAAAGAAAAACACAAGAGCCAGAAGTAGATTGACGATCATTGGAATTAGAGGCCCAATCAGTATCTGAATAACCAACCAAAGAAATTTCAAGAGAATATATCCATGAGTTGCAATACATGAGAAAGTGTGCCTTTGAGATAGAGCAGGATTCTTTTTTACAGCCTTCCAGTGAGTAGACAAAGGATGCTGCATGAACTAAAAGGCTCAATTTATACTAAAAGCAATCTCAAGCCTATTGTAGACACCTACAATACTTCCACATAAAGAAGGATTATCAATATCATCACCGTAAGACGTAGACAGTTGCTCACTAGCAAGTAGGGGTGAAAAAAAAACCGACGAACCCAATTAACCAACATAACCCAACCCATTTTAACGCGAACCCGACTAAACGGATTAAGAGTTCAATCCAACTCACCTAACCCGACTATTAATTGAGTGGGTTTGGGTTGAGTTTTTCTTAACCCAAATTAGAACCCACCAAATCTATTTATCTATATAAATAAATATTTTCCTACCTCATAATAATATATAATTTTTGTCTCATATTTTACATTATTTACTTGACAACATATCATGTTTTACATTAAATGAGTTTTTATTATTGTTTGTTTGCTAGTTTATAACTTATATATTTGAACTTGATTGCATATATTTTATTTTTATATTAGTTTATAACTTATGTGATAATTTTAGAGTTTTATAAAACTAATATTATGATGAAAGTTAGCTTTTTTTTATACATTTCTTATTTTGGGTTGAATGATTAGCTTTATTTATTTTTTATTTCTTTATTATGTTCAACCTGATGAACCCACTTAAATTTTAATTGGGTGGGTTGATTTTAAATTTTGAGTTGATTAGGTGTGTTAAATTAATTGAAATCAACCGATCCAAACTTAATTAGATGGGTTGAAAAATCTCAAAAATCTACCCAACCCACCCGATGTTCACCCTTAATGTAAACCATCTGAAATTCTGCTGCACTTCAATTCCAAGAAAAAGGAACAATATATATCATCAGTTTTAACAGAATGAGGTTGAACCAATAGAGGAAATATTCAGATCTTCACCATTTCCTATCTGCACTTTATCATGACCACAATACTCTGAACCAAAAATTCAGAAATTAGCCAGCTCATTTGTAATGTGGTTCGTAGCACCAGAGTCAGAGAACCAGTTTGGATCAGCTGCAATTTCTGGACTTGCAACAGGAGAACGGTAAGGCTTGCTTGCCGAGGCAAGATTAGCAGTGTATTGTCCAAAACTATGACTAGAATTTACATTATTTCCACTGTTTTGATTAACTGGAATTAAAATAGCAATAGTCTAATATCTTTACTAAGACTCTCAAATGACTTGTCTAAGACCATTTGGTCTGGTGGCATCAGGCATTTGGATATGGTGAAACCGCCTTTAAAAAAAAAGAGAGAAAGAAAGTTAATCAAAAGGCTTCGAAAAGTGAATAAAGTTTGAATTAAAGTAGATAAGATTATAAACACTATTTGTTTGCACAGTTTAAAGTATTGAAAATGTTTTCTTTATTACTTTTTTTAAGGTAGTATATATTTTTTTTAATCAAAGATGTGATTTCTCTCTCCTTTTTCGAGAAGAGAAGTTTAATTCTGATGCTATGAAGCTGTAAGAGTGTGTGAGTTTGCGTGTTTTGTCATTTTTGAATTTGACCTAGATCTTTTTATCAGTAATGCACATGTGTTGCTCAAAAGTTAAACTGATCAGATGCCCACAATTTAAGGTAATTAGAAATAAGTATCAAAACCATTAAATGAGGATACGCTAGATACGATGATTTTGTCCTTGAGATCCATGACATGCATTAAAAGTCTCCAATCTTAGCCTCTCTCCGTAAGAAAAAAAAAAAAAAAAAAACCCCATCTCTCCTTTCCTTTTCATATGATTCCGCTTCCTTCAAGCTAGGTCTCCTACATGCCAATCTTAGAAAGATCCATGAGAAAATATCTTATAATTTGGTAGTGACTTGAGGATCTATTTTTTTTTTTTTCAAATAAGAATCTATTAAAACCCCAAGCAAACACTTATCACATAAAAAAAAAAAAAAAAAAAAAAAAAAAAAAAAAAAAAAAACACACACACACACACACATATTTCACTACATACTTCTGAGAGAAAAATGAGATTCTTGCCAAATCCGAGTTTGCTGCTCCAACCATTACCAAACTAATAACTATTTCATTTAGTACTTCAAGTGCTTCTCTTTCGTATAATGTAAATACCAAGGGCCATATGTACGAAATGATTCTCAGTAAACATTATGCACCCAATATTTGATATATATATATATATGTATAAATATGTAATAATTTATATATAATATTATGTAACGGTATAAAGGGTCATCTATATATATATATATATATATATATATATATGTCTATATATAACTTAAATTACGACGTAGATGTAGCAAAATATTGGTTCAACATGAGACCCACAATTATGGACCATTTTGATTAGGCAATGCAAGCTAGGTAAATAGCATCGATCTCTCAATTGTTACCAACACAAATAATTAATGAGAAGCTGATATTAAATACAAAAACAAACTGTGTGTCAAAACTGCCTAGCTCATGAAATATGAACAGTATGTTAGATCAAGTGGACTTTATGTTTCACTTCGTGCAATTAATGGAGAATACAGAAAACAAATTAAATCATAAATGAGCCGTAGGAGGCGCTTTGTTGAACGTGACTGACCACCGACTAATAGAGAAGAAGAAGCCTAGTCCGTAGTCCCTCACTTTTAAAATCCAATTTTTGGGTTATAAATTACAATTCAGTTGAGGACTTCATTTAGTCTCTTCCTTTCTTCTTATTTTTGTTGAACAGTTTTAACAGTTCTTTTTCATTATCCACCATTTGCCATGGCTAGGCTTTTGCTGTTGTTCGCCCTCTGCGTGCTCCCTGCGCTCGTTGGCGCACATCTCCCCGTCGGCACGCCCTTCCACATCATCGGCCGCGTTTACTGTGACACTTGCCATGCCGGCTTCGAGACCACTGCTACCTATTACATTCCCGGTATTCTTTCTTTACACACACTAGTACTTAACTTCCATTTATATACACATATTATACACACATATATATATATATGTCGCCTTCCCTTTTTACTTCTTACTAATATACAACTACATTGTTCATCAAACACTTGTTATGTTGTTGTGTGTTCATTAGTGTTACACATAATAAAATATAAGCCTCAATGCAGATTTTTTTTTTTAAGGGACAATGCATGTTTTACTGATTATGTATTTTAATTAGAAGTGCTTCCAAATAACAGAAATATTAGACGGATGACATTATGACTTAATTACATAAAACACATTAGTTTTCCCATTCATATATAATACCGAGCTAGTATCAATATTCCTAGATTCCTGGATGCTTTTAATTAGAAAATTAATTTCTGAATTATAACCAATCATCGTTGTTGATCCATAATGTTTCCGCATAATTTTACATAGAGCCATTAATGTATTACAAGAATATTACTTGGAGAAGCAACATTTTTATGCTAAATATTGTGTACCACTTATGTTTGACGCTTAATTACAAGTCACAAAGTAGTAAGGCACAGAACCCCCTGTTTTAAAAATGGGACTTAGGTTCGATTGGTAGAGTTTTTACTTGTGTTTTTAGTACGTAGAATAAGAGAAGTAAAAGTTGTGACTCTTCAAAACAATTGTTAAAAATTTTTAGCAATAAAAAATGTTATGATGAGGATTATAATGTCTCAAATGAAGTTAGGATAAAAGTTTTAAAGTCTATTCAGAAGAGTTGTTTTTAAAAATTACATTTTTAAAACCCTTTAGAGAGCCAAAGGTCTTCTAATAAATCATCCAAACACTTTAAGAAGTAGTTTATAGACTTAGAAAGCCAAAAGCAGTTTTTAAAAAGCTCTGCCAAATACATCCTTAATTCATGCGGCTTAAAATTTTCACATTGTGCTTAAAGATTTCTTGCTTGTTTGATTTGAGGGTTCAAATTAGGTTAATTTAAAATTTTTTATAAGAGAAAACACTGTTCAACTTAAAACTAGGATGATTTGAACTCTCAATTTAAACATGCATTCATGCACTACTTCTCACCTAGCTAGCTTCATTATTTTTTAATCATGAAATACCATCCATAGTATTTTGCCCTGCGCTTAAATTGCTGCCAACTTGAAACAAAATTCTATATGGTTTTATTAGGTGCAAAGGTGAGACTTGACTGCTTAGACAGGGAAACCTTAGAGCTCAGATACAGCTCGCACGCAGTGACTGACTCAACCGGAACATACAACATCAAGGTTGAAGACGACCATGAGGACCAGATCTGCGAGTGCGTGCTGGAGAGCAGTCCGATCGCCGCCTGCGAAATGCCCGATCCGGGACGCAGCCGCGCCAGCGCCTTGCTGACACGCTACATGAACGGGGTCGTCAACAACAAGCACATTGTCAACAACATGGGGTTCTTGTTGGAGAAGCCCTTGGCTGAGTGTGAGCAAGTGCTTAAGCGGTACTTCCCTGATGATGATGAGGATGATGAGTAATAATAAATCTTGCTAATGATCAGTAATAATAAATTGATACTTATTGTAAAAGGATCACTAGCTCTTTATTTTTGGTTTATTGGGTGCCATTTTTTCCCTTCTTTTTTCTTTTTAGGTACGTGCCTCTCGTACTTAATTTTATGTGGCTTTTAACAGTCTGTACTAGAACAAAGTGTTAGACATGATAGTAGTTTCGGATCTATGAGATTTGGTGATCACTTGAACTACTTAATTGTGGCTTTCCAAAGTTTAGTTTGCTGCTCGAATCATTAATTAAGAAACACTAGTAAGTAAAAATATTAGATGATACAATTTTTATAAAAAAAAAAAAAATGCAGTACTATTAGATAATACTAATTTTTGTCTCCGCAAAAAAAATGATTTTTTTTTTTTTTTTTTCGAAAAGGAAACCTATGGCGGTGATTAGAACTATACCAAAATAGAAAAAAAAAAATACAAAATTATAAAGTCTACGACTATACATTATTGGTACGATAGTTTTTTTTACCCAAATAACCCTCTTCTAAATTATTAGAATTTACAGTCCTCTTCCAAATTATTGCAATTTACAGTCTCAATAGTTATGTACTAAAGATCTTTTTGTACTAGCTTCTTTAGCAATGGTTACAGTCCTCTGGTGTTTCATCTCTTTTGAAAACACAAGTGTTCTCTATTTATTAACCCTCAGATATGTATTAAATCTTATTAAAAGTCAAATTAAATTAAAAAAATAATACAGATACGACAGCTAATAAACAGGAAACACCGATATTTTCAAAAAAGAAATAACACCATAAAAATTCTCTTTTAACTATTCTTAACATACGATGAGGGAAACAGTGTGAGCTCGAATGAAAAGCTCAATGGACAACAATGTTTACCGAGCTCTAGAAACAGACATCAAAATAGGTGAACTGAAAATCGAACACAAATTTGACTTTTTAACATATCCTTTACAATCGATGGAAGCATCTATTGGTCAACCAATATCGAGAATCCCATAGCAGTAAGGCCAAAAAAAAAAAAAAAACAGTTAAGAAACAAATCAATAGACAAAAAACAGAGACAAACACACAATAAGCGAGATATACATAAAAGAAAAAAAGAAAAGTTGAGTTAAAAGCACTGTCATTACTAACTCAAACTAATCGAAATAGAATGGATAAAATACTCACAAGCAACAATGGCACAGCTTTCAGCAGTGAAACAACAAGAAAAGGTTTAAAAAGCACGTCAACGTGTGCCACCGAACCAAAGCACGTGCACGACATGCACATCCAAACTAAGCTGCTAGCAGAACACTTCCATCACCATTAGCTGTAGCAAATAACCAAGAAAGATACCAGATGGGAGTAGGATGGTAGAGAGCGACGTGGTTGACACGACACCCAAAAAACAACCCCCAACCTGCCTCATTTCGTCTTAGATTCGACCCTGGTGCTCATGGATGAAAATGCCTGCAACGTTGTCGACATTTCCAAGAGATTGTATATATTTTGAAGTTTCGACGTAGATAAAGAGAGGTAAAGATATTTATCTTGGAGTATTGTAAAATGTCTACAATATCCAAAAATATTTACAATATTGGTGAATATTCATGAAAATCCAGAATATTTTTTAAAATGTCCACAAAATATCCAAAAACACCAGGAAAATTTTCTTTTACTGCACGTGAATCAATTTCCTAGTAAATCTTAGGGCTTGTTCTTTTGGAGTTTAACTTGAGTATAATTCTTGAGTTGAATTTGAGTTATAACTTGAGTTGAACTTGTAACTTGAGTTTGTGTACATTTGAGTTATGATTTGAGATAAGAATCTTTTTGAGTTTGTGTTTGAGTGAGTCAAAACTTGAATTTGTATTTAAATAGTATTTTAATAAAAACTCAATGCTGATGAAAAATTCTAATTGGGTATATGGGTCGGGTTTTATTCGTCTTTTCGTTGTCAACGCATAGAAAAAAAATCATCTCAATCAGAATTAAAACGAAAAAGTTATAGCATTTTTATGAATAGAAAAAAATACTGTTCCTTAATTTGAGTTCGAGTTTATGAACTCGAGTTGAAGGGGAAACTTGAACTCGAGTTTTAGTTCTAAACTCGAGTTTGAACTCGAATTTAAACTCGAGTTTAAACTTAAAAGAACATGAACTCAAATAAAATTGTAACTCGAATTGTCTTTTTTTAAATTTTTTACTCAAAAGAACGAGGCCTTATATTCTCATAGTAATGTGTGTTATTTTTTGTTATTAAAGTAGTTCAAATTAAGAAATATTGATTGTTTTTCATTTTGTAGGATTTCAATAAAAGATTTTTATGTTTTCTTAAGATATCCATTTTTTTCAATATATTCGTCAATATTGATATTTCCGTTGACATTATCTGCATAGCAAAACCAACTCGAGAACCCCATCCTTATCGACATTTTCATCCTTCTTGCGCCTTGCAACAACGAACATTGTCAGAACCCCCTTTTTCTAAAGAATTTGTAAAGAACATTAAGAAGAGAACCAAAAATATCTAACAACTAAAAAGAAAGGAGAGAGAAATTCACACATGTCTTAACGCAAGGATAACAAATTCAGATCCGCCATAACTAGATTCGCCACTACTAATATGACTCTTGTTCGTTCTACAAACTTAATCCGTTTGGTTAGAAGATTCGTTCTCTGGTTCGAATCATAGTTCATAGTTCACTACAGTATTTTTCCTCACAAAAAATGGTTCTAATCTCATTTCACCGATTCGAGTTTTCAGTTTTAAATTTCTACAGTAAAAAACTCTCAGAAAATGTCACATCTAATTTTTTCTGTTACAGTGAAAAGTTCTCAAAAAATATCATATCTCAACTTGAATTGAAAACTCAAATCTACAAAGTGAACGAGACCTTAATTTCAAGAAAAACAATAAAGTATTGGTACGACAACCTATGTGGTGGGTACAACAGCTAAAATACTTTTTATTTTATTTTCCTCTCAGGATAGGTTCACAGTTTGATGTTTTATAGGCCCCCTTTAAGTCTTTATCAAGTCAATACATTATGCGACGTTGGGCTTGTGGTTTAGTGGAAGGGAAAAGCCTTTAAGTAAAATTGAATCCGCTAATTATTGTTTTATTAGCGGACACTTGAATTTATGCTATATATAATGGGGGACGGGATTGCATCAATATTCATCCCTTTCTATAATAAAAAGAGGATAGATTGTTAAAAATTAGCACAAACTAATCCACCTCCAATGCTCCTAGGATAGGAGCATTGGAGGTGGATTATTTTGTGCTAATAGCCATTCTCGTCTAACCTAATCATCGTGTTGGCTTCCCTCGCCTAGCCTAACCACACATAGTTGGCCTTCTCACCCAGATACGCCCCACGATAGCCTCCCTCACCTTACCCAGTCCTCGTCGCTTCGCGCCTTGTCCCGGCCTCGCCGCAATGCTCCTCGTGCCGCACTAGGGATTAACTTCAAGTATTAGATAAGGGTTACAATTAGGTTTCTATGCTTTGTTGCAATAAGGGTTGTAGGCTTGAACTAACGTGTTAGATACAAAAAAGCAGACAAGAATAATGATAATGATGATTAATCCAAAATAGTATTTGTTAATTATGATACCAAACTATTTCATAATGCTTATAGGATTCATTTGAAACTATTATATGATCTCTTCAGTTTATGAACAACCCCTTAATTCTTTTTTCTTTTTCCTAGTCATAACTTATATAATTTTTTTAATAATAGCCATTTAAGAAAAAAGATTAAGTTTGAAAGCATAATATAATAAACCTTTTTTTTTTTTTTTGCTAATCAAAATACTAAACTAATTTAACAAGCGCAAATGATTAATTCCAAAAAAAAAAAATTTAATTACTCGAAGAAAAGATTCTAAAAAAGATACTAAAAAAAAAAGCATATGCTGTTGGGAAAAAATAGAAAATATTACTTTTAACTTATTAAAGCGACATGTTACGACGTCGTTTGGACGTGCAAGTTTTGTGTTCCCCCGCTAAATTTGTACAAACGCAGCCACCTTTCTGGCATCGACCTTTTTGATCTCTCCAAATTTTTGATCGATTTTACTTTCTCGCTTACCAAACACCCCAAATCTTTTTATTTTTTTCTTCGAATATTTCCTTCTCTCTCTCTCTCTCTCTCTCTCTCTCTCTCTCTCTCTAATCTCTATACTTCAAGCGCATCTGATATCAATGTGAGTTTCACACTATTTCTCTCTTTATTTGTTGTCTGTTTTTTTTTTTTAATTTCTTTTAGGATTTTGGGATGAATTTGTTATTATTATTTTTGTACATTCCCTGTTAATCGGAATTAGTGTTTTTTCTTTGTGCGTTTTTATTTCTGGGTTTTGTTTTTCCCTTTTTTTCTTTGGTCTCAAATTTTATTTTAATGCACAGTGCATAAAAAGACTGAAAGTTCTGGACCTGGTTTCCGTGGAAAGGAGTGAGAAATTTTGATTCACATTGCTCATAGTGATTTAAATTTTATGAAAAAGAAAATACGAAGTTGGGTTTCTTTTACGTGTAAAATACCATTAATGTAGTGTTACTCCGTTGGCTAATTCACGGGCATTATCATGTCTTCAGCTCTCTGCCCTTTTTGAGTTTCAAAAATTGGACAAAAAAGTCAGTTATTGTATTTATTCTTTTGATTATGGAAGGTGTATTTGGCTTACTTTTCTTCTGGTTTTCGATGCTTCATTGGATTAATAGAATGAACGCAGCTGTTCTGCACCAATCTGTTGGGGGCATTCAGCATTGTGGTTGTGACAATAGTTTGGGGTCTATAAAGGGATCAAGGATTTCCTCTTTGAGATTTTTCTCAAAGCGTTTTGAAGCTGGCGTCGGAGGGAATTGCAATTCTAGACCGTTTGGATTGCGTATTATTCGCACTTCGGCTTCTCATTCTTTGGTGGTGGATGAGACTGCTACATCTGACTTAGGTGACAGTACCAAGGATTCTCTTAAAACGTCAGGTTTGTGTGCGTTCGTGCATTTGGTGCATTAGATTTCCATATGATCATTGATTATGGGATGAAGAGACAGATTTTGGGAACTGTTAATTGTTTGTCTAGGAAGTTGGGTTTTCTGTATTAAGTATTGAATGTTGATCCCGTAGTCTTTATTGGTAGGGGAAGCTGCATTGATATTAATTCGGCATGGTGAGTCTTTGTGGAATGAGAAGAACTTGTTCACTGGTTGCGTTGATGTGCCTTTGACAAAGAGAGGCGTAGATGAAGCAATCGAGGCTGGTAAAAGAATTAGCAGCATACCAGTAGATTTGATATATACATCTTCCCTGATTCGCGCACAGATGACAGCTATGCTTGCGATGACTCAGCACCGCCGCAAGAAGGTAACTTCGCTTATGCTTTTAGAATTTGTTGTTTTATTCGATGACATATCTGGTAATTTAAATTGCTTAGTTTTCTAACTAAACAAGTTGTTGTTATTCAACTTTTCAAATTTGGAAGAAAATTTGATATGTTTAACCAAATCATGCTTCCTAGGTGCCTATTATCGACATATCTGGTAATTTAAATTGCTTAGTTTTCTAACTAAACAAGTTGTTATTCAACTTTTCAAATTTGGAAGAAAATTTGATATGTTTAACCAAATCATGCTTCCTAGGTGCCTATTATTATCCACAGAGAGAATGAACAAGCCGAAAGTTGGACTCAAATTTACAGTGAAGAGACCAATAACCAATCAATTCCAGTTATAACATCCTGGCAATTGAATGAGAGAATGTATTTCTCTTTTACTCGCATCTGTATTGTACTCTTGATATTTGAAGACATATAAACTACTAGATGCATTCTTTCAGGTATGGAGAATTACAGGGTCTTAATAAGCAGGAGACAGCTGAAAAATACGGTAAGGAGCAAGTGCACGAGTGGCGTAGAAGTTATGATATTCCTCCCCCAAAAGGCGAGAGCTTGGAAATGTGTTCAGAAAGAGCTGTTTCCTATTTCATTGAACATGTAAGCATGCCCAGGCTATTCTTGGTATCCAATATTTACATATTATGATTCAATTATATGTTTTCGGGTTAAAACCGTCTTAATCTTGTTGTGTTCAGATTTTGAAAAGAAAGTGTTTTGCAGATTGAACCGCATCTTCAATCCGGAAAGCATGTGATGGTGGCTGCTCATGGGAATTCATTGAGATCTATAATTATGTATCTTGACAGATTAACTACTCAGGAGGTAGCAAACTGTATTCTGCCTCGTTCATTTTACCGATTCGAATTTTCAGTTTTAAGTTTCTATAGTAAAAAGCACTTAGAAAATGTCACATCTAACTTCTTCTGCTACAATAAAAAGCTTTCATTCTGCCTCGTTCATTTTACCGATTCGAATTTTCAGTTTTAAGTTTCTACAGTAAAAAGCACTTAGAAAATGTCACATTTAACTTTTTCTGCTACAATAAAAAGCTCTTAGAAAATTTCACATCTCAGCTTGAATTGAAAACTCGAATTGCTTGCTACTAAGTAATGTCCATTATAACAAATAGTTTTCAATTTTCTGGAAAACAGGTTATTAGCTTAGAGTTATCCACTGGGATCCCCCTTCTCTACATATACAAAGACAGGAAATATATGAATAGGGGAAGTCCTGTAGGACCAACAGAGGCCGGTGTATATGCTTATACAGATGTACGGATTCTTTGCTCAAATCTTACCGGTCTTCTGAGTTTTCATATTTCACCTTTTGCGTAAGGCTTTCAATGCTTGCTAATTTTATGTAAACCTTATTTTATACTGCTAGCAAATGCGGTCCAAGATTTTATTGTATTTTGTGTTTCAAGAGGGCTGTGGTTAGCTGTGGTCTCATATACAGTGCTTGAGATTTTAGTTATCTCATGCTAGTAATGATGATTTAGCCTTGATTAAAAAAAAATTAAAAAAAGAAAGAAAATAAGAAACGATGATTCTGGGTAGAGGATGCATGGACTAACACATTATAGTCTATCCCAAGGCCGGATGTATGGTTGACTCCATTTTCTTACAGAACAACAAGTTGTTATTCTCTCTTTAATTCTTTCTGTTCAATTTGATAAATTGTGATTGTTTCTCACTGTATGAAAATTGCTGATATTTGGACTTATCCCCCATAACCTGAGGTTCAGAGGTTTGTCTCTGAGGCACTGGGTAGTACTTTTGCACATGATCATTGCTTAATACAACTGGGAATTGCTTATGCCTTTTTTTTATCCAATTTATCCTCTTCTTTTTTTTTTTTTTAATGTGAGTGCATAATTATCGACATGTCGATGTATTTTAACAGTTGATTGTCGTTTCTGTAATTGCAGAGTCTAGCTCTTTACAGGCAAGAATTGGATGAAATGTTGCATTGAACTTTTTAATAAAAGAAGTAAGCCCTTTATTATGTTATCTGCTCACAACATTCTACAATGATTGGATGCTAAATTGCTAATAAACCCAATGCTTACTATTTAGTTTATTCTGATTTTGTTTCACATTTTAAGTCTTTTATTTATGTTTGACCTTGCTTAATACTTGCATGATTCCAATAGATGGTGTCCTCATCCTCTTTTTGGCGACCCATATTTGATAACTTAAGCTTCAAGCTTGGCCATTCCAAGGACCTTCACTATTGGCCCGGTCCCGTCCCAGCCAGCCTGAGTGTTCGGACCAGGCCAGGCCTATACTTTAGGCCCAAAAGTATTATGAAGTGCCCTTTGTTATTTTTGAAATTTTTTCTTATAAAGTTCCGGCCCGGACCGATGCTCATTGGGCTTTAGGCAGAGCTAGGCCAACCCATCCTTGTGCCGCTCGTTTGGGCAATCTGAATTTTCACCTCTATAGACTACAATGATAACATGTTTCATTTCCTTCAAGCTCAATAGCACCCTTAGTTTTTCCTTTGCAATAAACTAATAGCATCTTTTAAATTGTTTTTTAAAAGTGTTTCTTGTTTGCTGCAGGAAAACCTGATTTAACTTTCTCAAGTTGCTTAGCGTGCATATCTACAGAGACTAATTGCTAGAGTTTTAGTGTAACAAAATTGAAAAGGAAAAAGGAGGGGAAGCGTCACATCACTGCCTTACAATTTTGACAATATTGGGTTTGAAGAGTCACAATGTGAAGATTGCGGAAGCCATATTTTTAGATTTTTTTTTTTGGCCTTTCTTGACAAGAATATTGGTAGGCAATAACTGGAAGTCGATATATGGTATGAGGAACTTTATTTACTCTTTTTTTAGTAAATATTATTTTGTGAACTTGCATTAAAGTCCACTATTGAACAGAAAAAAATATAGTTATCTATCTTTATTCTGTCAGGAATTATTGACGCTTTTAAAGTAATGTTAAATGGCTTAATGCCCCGTGAGAGGGCCTATGAGGTTTTCATACCACACAGTATGCTGGAAGTGGCTGATTGAAATTGGACTTTCACTTAGTAACTTTTTGCCGTGTTTAGAGTTATTTTTGTTTTTATTTTTCACATTTTTTAAAAAAAAATGAAAATGATTTTAAATTAGCGTTTAGTACAATTAAAGATAAAAAATAAAAATAAAAATAAATTTTTATTTTAGTATAAAATGAGAGAGAAATGAAAAATAATTTTTAATTATTTTTCATTTTTTATTTTCATTTTTTCCTCTCTTAAGCAAAGAGAGAGATATATATATTAATGAGTTTTTTATACTGAAAATAATCTCTTAATAAAATTACTAAACGTATTTTTAAAAATAATTTTTATCTAAAATTAAAAATATTTTCATTTTTATTTTTATATAAAAAATAAAATTATTTTAAAAACAAATGCGTCATTTATGTTTCCTTATGCTAGTTTGATCATACTACAAAGTCATAATGGTTGGCTTTCTTTTGCGTTTTCAACTTTCAACAAATTATTGTAACGGACGGGCTGTGGACTGTGGTGGAGATTTTTTTATTTTTTCCTTTTCTTTTTGGGGTGAAACTGTGGTGAAGTATCTTGTCAGAAGACGTTTGACTAGGAACTTTCACTATTAAATAATGGTATATATATATGACGTTATTTATGATCGAAATATGCTTGGCACTAGCATAAATGAGCGTCACAACTACTAAAAAGTGGATAGTATTTATGAGTTCTATACTGTGAGATTTAATTTATGTTAGTGGGTGATGTTGGGCCCCATTAGCGTCCCCTAGTATTTGCATATATTTCCTTTTTAATTTATTTTTAGGACATGAGAGAATTTTTTAATAAGATTAGTAATTGATACCGATAATTACTAAGGGGACGTTTGGTTGAAAGATTTAAACTATTATTTGAATCATGATTCATGGTTCGCTATAGTATTTTCTCTCATAAAAAATACACGTAAATAAAAAATATTTCTAATCTCATGATTATAATCCATGAACCAAACGTCTCCTAATTTTTTTAGTAGATGATAGTTTGTTTACTCTCTCTTTCTCTCTTTCTTTTCTTTATTTTTTTCTTTTTATTTTACAAAATGATCTCTGAATTCTTTAATTTTAGCAATTAAAATCTTTCCGTCTATTTTTATTAGTTTGATAGACAAAAATATACTTGTAAGGAAAAATAATAATAATTGAAAAAAAAAATCTAGTCAACACTCAAATTCTTCTTCCCTTGCTTGGCCTGAAGCTTAAAATTTGATTATTGCGGCACTTATTTGACATTGCAAACATGCTTTTATATTGAGATGGTCTAATTGAAATGAGCATTAACTAATCTTTATGGAGCTCTTAGTTTAATAAATCAATTAACATACATTAAGGTTAAGTTGAGAAACCACTTCTCGACGTTTTTTTAAGTCTTCAAAAATAAACTAAACTAAACTCAAAGCAAATCTATGAAGACAAGGAACTTCAAGAAGTCAACAACTCTGGAAAGATTCTTTTGTGAATAGATAAAATAAATAAAAGAGCAACTTCTAGAAATAAGATATGGTATCCATATTCTCAAATATGTTTTGCCCCGGATATTAATCATGAAATAATATTACTGAATTTTAGAAAGACATAAATTGAATTGCTTAGTACCGAGTAATGCACATTATGTTACCTTATTTATTGAACTTTTACTCACAAATATGTTTTTCCCTAGATATCGATCATGATATAAAACGAATTGCTTAGTGCCAAAGAATCCACAAGAAAACAATGTTGTGCTCTTTTGAGATTATCCCATCTTTGGTATAGGTTCTTTTGTCTGATACCATGACGAATTCGTTGTGTTTGTTAAGTTTTATACGTCTAACCTATTAATTTAGAAACTAGAAATCTAATAAAAAGAAATCATACAAAGCACATAAAAACGGCAAAAATAAATACATAAAAGATAAAATAAAACAGGAAATCATAACTCGATCCACATTTATATGTAGACATCTTTATTTATAATACGAGTTCAGATTTAATGTTCCATTTTTTTGTCACTTTTGTTGTCCTTTCAATCAATTTTTGAAACCTCATTAATTGTTTAAATGTTTTAACAGTAAGTTTCTTCTAATGCGCTCAGATGGTTATATTTATATGACACGATAAATAATAATTGGAGAGACAATTTAGGGAATAGAAAAATAGAAAAAACATATCTGGACGTGAAATGAAAAGAAAAGAAAAGAATAACTGCCATTTTCATTAAAGGAACATCCAAGTTCGAGTTAAAGGGTATTTGAAAAAAAGGAGAGTTCCTAAAAAAAAAAAAGGGAGAGTCTAGCTTGTGCCAGATATGCGGGACAAAATACGTATATATATATATATATATAAAAAAAAAGGGAGAGTCTAGCTTGTGCCAGATATGCGGGACAAAATACGTCTATATCTATATATATATGTGTGTATATATATGTAAGTGTGTGTGTATATTATAAGGTCGGTTTAGTCGTTTCAATTTTAATGGAAGGAGAAAATAATGATATTTGTTGTCTGCAGTTGGGTTTGGGTTGTGAAGTGTTTGTGTGACTAATAAACGGTTTCTGCTCCCCCGAAACCTTTGGCGCCAATATCTCATCCTCCCAAACAGAAACACAAGAAAATTAAACAGATAAACAAAATTTTTGTTTTAAAAAAAACAAACAACAAGCATTAACACAAACGAAAGAAACATATGAAGAACATTATCGAAAAAGGAAGCACGCATAAACAGATAAGACCCAGAAATGTGTATACGTTGTCCTAAAATAAAAACAAAGAAAACGTCCACAACATATGAATGTCCTCCACCTAATTAATGACATTGAAAGTCAGTTTTCATTACGAGCTTAGAGAATTTTATTTAATGAATGAATGTCTTCCCCGAATGGATTTTCTTTCTCAATGGCCAAAGCAGACACCATCGCCTCCGCCTCCTCCTCGGCGCCTTCCACGCCCACCACCCCTGATAACTCCATCAAGGGTGAAAAGAAAAAGAAGGTACGCATTTTCCTTCTTTGTTTTCCTTTTATTTTTGGTTACTTTAATTGCACTGTGGTTATTGGAATATTTGCATTGTGGTTATTGGAATATTTGCATTGTGGTTATTGTAATACTGTCTTGGAATGTCTACATAGAATTATTGCTTTTAATTCATGACTAATTAGATTTTCCCGTCCCTTAAAGTCCATAATTCCTAGGCTTTTTGGTTCAAAGCTATCTGGACGAGGAGGCTTGGATGATTTGACTAAATCTGGTGGATCGGATGCAATTCACAATCTTGGTAATCCTTTATTTTGTATTTTTTATTTTTTCCGATCTTTTTTGAGGTTGTTATTAATTATAAAGGAGTTTATCTCTGATAGTTCCTGTAAAATGATATAAATCTTTTGTATTTTTTTCCCCCTTTTTGTTGTAGATCTAGACAAAATGATTGCATCTAGGGGAAAAGATTTCGTTCTACAAGATGCCCCTCCCAGAGCGAAAAGTTTTTCAGGTATAAATCCCTTGTTTTTTCGATACAATATGCAAATGTGTGTTTTTCACGTACGTGCACAGTATAAATTTATATTATAAAATCCGGTTACATCAAGATATGAAAAAAAAAAAATAACATTGATATGATCTTTGAAAAAAAAAAAAAAAAAAACTTATTATTATGATAATTTTTTTGGGGGGTCATTTTCATATCGAATATGTTTGATGGGTACATGGCCACGTACTGATGCATAATCTAGATTCTATATCATAAGTCTTCCTCTTATCCCTTCAATTATATTGGTAGCTTACCTAACCTCAATGTGTGATGATTTTTTGCCAACGGAAATATGTAAACATTTTTCAATGGGAAGAAATCAATGCACAAAACAAAAGATTTTTCTCGTTTCACATTGATGCTGAGGCCTAAGATTAAAAATGTCAATTCAGCTAGACTTTAGGAGAACTGAATAGAATAATGTCACTTTATCTATATTTAATTTGTTGTCTCTATTCTCAGAAAGACAGACGAATTCGGGTAACATCGAAGGCCTAAACCTGTCCAACTTCGAACGTTCTATGGATCCGCCGGCAACGGAAATCAAAGAATTCCGGTAGGAATTTCTTGCCATGCACAACTAATTAACTTGTATGAAATGATAGCACTCTTGATATTGCTTTTGATAATTAGGTCATGCGTTGTATATTGTCCCTTATAACAGTGCTCTGAATACTAGCTAGTTGGGGTTTCAGGGTGTTCGTCGCGACGTGGAATGTTGGAGGAAAGACGCCCCATAATGGCCTGAACCTTGAAGATTTCTTGCAAGTGGAGGGCTCTTCTGACATATATGTTCTAGGGTAAGAACATTGGTCCAATTCAAACTTGTATTAATATGAAAACACTATGTCACGTCATGTTACAATTAATTAATCAATATAGAAGTTTAAGACATAGAAACATTAAAATCACTAGGTAACATCCTTTTGTACCGAAAATTATGCTTGCATAGCCAATGATCACTGAGTCAAACGACACGGGGTAAAGTGGGGTAGTACTTGGGCTTGGAAAGACGCAGGTTTATTCTGTGTTTCTTAAAACACACACACTACGACACGGGGTAAAGTGGGGTAGTACTTGGGCTTGGAAAGACGCAGGTTGATTCTGTGTTTCTTAAAACATACAGACACTACACACACATACATATATATGTGTGTGTGTGTGTGTGTGTGTGTACAATGTCTAACTTCTTGCATTTCTTTCTTTTGTTCTCTTTTCTAGGTTTCAGGAAATTGTTCCACTAAACGCGGGAAACGTTCTTGTGATAGAAGACAATGAGCCTGCAGCAAAATGGCTGGCCCTTATAAACCAAGCTCTCAATAAACCAACTAGGAATGATTCTATCTATTCAGATTCAAGGAATTGTAACAACAATATTATTGGCTCCAATTATGTCTTGCACAACAACAACTTGAAGGATTCAAAATCTACAGCGGGCAGTGCACTCCACTTCTTCCAAAAGCCTTCTCTCAAAGTGCTCAGCAGAAGTTTGCGGGCGGATAGCAGACTTCTCAAGGCTTGCAACTGCCCCGAAGACTTTCCGTCGCAGGAAAGGCCGCGGAGACTGAGAAAGCTTATTGAATATCCTGTTAGTGAGTTAGAGGTCTCAGGAATATCTGATGCTCATCAAAGTCCTAGATATGGAAGCTGTGTGGATGTGGATGAGTTCTTTGCAATTGCGGAAATACCTTCCTCTGATGATCTCCCTTCGCCGACAGACAAGTGTTACCGCCTAATAACGAGCAAACAGATGGTGGGGCTTTTCCTATCAGTTTGGGCGAGGAGCGATTTGATCCCTCATATTGGTCATCTAAGAGTCTCCTCTGTAGGAAGAGGAATAATGGGTTGCCTCGGTAACAAGGTATATATATCTGAAAACCTTAAAAAATTGATATAATATCATTTGTTATATTGATCACTATTAGCCACTAATGGAGTGTACAATGCTTAGAATGTCTTTTTTATTCTCTTTTTATGATGGGTTCAAGATTTTATACTCCAAAGTCCCACTATAAGATTCTTACCCAATTAATAGACGGTCCACTATCGTTTAAGTAAAATTGAGTCAGGTCTTTTCTGTTCTAAAAGTAGGTCTATCAATTTCTACTATAAATGTAAGTAACATGGACACTGGTAATATCCCTTTCTTATTAGCAAAAAGAAAAAAAAAATGTGATCACTATTAGTTTTTCAACCATTCAAAAGAAAAAACTAAGAAAAATCGTGATGTGTTTAATAATTCTAAACTTACAGGCCGATGCAATTTTGTGGACTTTATTTCTGAGCCTGCTACCTAGCCTCTTCTAATTAGTATTTTACGAGAAAAGCTAATGTAACATTTTGTTTATACTTGCTTAATTAGATAATTAATGTTGTTACATGGCATGACCAAATATGTAGAAATTAAGATAAATCATGAAAGTAAAATGATTAAAACAATGATTCTAGAATCAGTTAATTGGTCAACACTTGTGGTGGTGATGGTATGCTGACAAGGATGTCTATTCTAAGGGTCCATTTAGTTCGCTGATTCGAGTTTTTTCTTCGAGTTGAGATGTGATTTTTTGTGAGAGCTTTTTACTGTAGCAAAAAAGTTAGACGTGACTGTTTCTGAGAACTTTTTATTGTAACAAATTATAATCGGTGAAATAAACAGAGCCTAAGTCTCCTTAATTCACAATCCAGTGTTAAAATCCCCACATCCTCAAAAATAATAATAATAATAATAATAATAATAAAATATTCCAGCCTTAAAGTGTGGTAATGCTCACTTATGGTACTCTGAAGGGCTAATAGTGGACCGGCGAAACGTTATGAAACAGCTGGAGAATATGTTTAGGTCCTTGACCATTTTATTGGTAAGACTAGTTAATTTTTTCTACAGGCGTTGGGTGGGGGTGTGATAATACCAATAATCCCTTTTTTCATTATGAAAAAGATTAGTTAAGTGGTGAAGCTTTTCTTTTTTTGTTTGACTCGTGTGTTTATGCAGGGATGCATATCAATAAGCATGTCATTGCACCAAACAAGCTTCTGCTTTGTTTGCAGTCACTTGGCTTCTGGTGAGAAAGAGGGTGATGAGCTCAAGAGGAACGCAGATGTGGCTGAGATTCTCAAAAGCAGTCAATTTCCAAAGATTTGCAAGAATCCAAATTGCCGTGCCCCAGAGAGAATAACTGAGCACGAGTATGTCAGTTCTCTAGAATTTGTCTTTTCCCTTAAATTTTTAGCTCCATAGTTATTTTGATATATATCAGTATAGATATAGTAACTTGTGTTTTTGTCCCTTTTTTTTCACAAACTGCAGCCGAGTAATTTGGTTGGGAGATTTGAATTATCGGGTGTCTTTGAGCTACGATAAAGCATTGGTTTTGTTGGAGGACAATGACTGGGATACCCTCTTAGAGAAGGATCAGGTTTATTTCTTTCACACGTAAAATAGAGAGTTTTTAGTACTTTTCTCACCCCAAACTTTTTCGGGTTTGACAATTTATCTCAAAACTCTTTTTAATTTTGGAACTTTATCTCTTAAACTTGTAAAATTTTTGCAATTAGGCCCATTTTATTAAACATCTATAAATTAGCAAGAGAGAAAGTCAACGAACGTCTCACCAAATTAAAAATGGAAAAGCACATCTCCAACCAAAAGTTCTCAAATTAGGGTTTAAAGTTTAAGGTTTAGGGCACATCTCCAACCAAAAATTCTTAAATCCTAATTCAAACTCGAAACCATATAATCACTCAAATCTCCATATTTTGTTCTGAAACCTAACCCAAAAAAAGAAAAAAAAAGTTAAAATGGGGCATTTGCAATAATTTAGCAAGTTGACGGGTAAAGTCTTGAAATAAAGTTTTGGAAGTTTGCCAAAATCTAAAAAGTTCGAACGATAAAAATGTTGTAACTCAAAAAAGAGTTATATCAGTATGTCTATATGTGCAGAGTGGGTTTTTTATTTTATTTTATTTGTTTCTTTGATATAGTGCTAGGTTTGTACTAGTCTAAAAGTGATGACATAAATTTGAATCAATCTTCTGAGGATCATCTCAAAGGGCAAAGTTGTGAAATAAGCACCAAACTTTATCAAAGATGCATGCAAATCAGTGCTACAAAAGTCGTGAAAGAAGCACCAAATTTGTCAAATATGCATGCAAATCAGTGCTGTACAGCCTACATTTAGCTCATCAAAATTTGAGTCTATGAATGTGTACAAGAAAAGTCATTCTCATGACTAACTGATTTCGTCAATCTTTCTGATTGCTAATGTTTATGACGTAACATTTACAGTTGAATATAGAGAGAGAAGCAAAGAGAGTATTCGATGGTTTCAAGGAGGGACATATTTTCTTTGCCCCAACTTACAAATATTCTCATAATTCCGACTCTTACGCAGGCGAAACAGTCAAATCCAAGAAGAAACGTCGAACACCTGCTTGGTATTTAATTTTCTCTTTTTAATTGCTACAATATGCAAAATAGTTGAGAAAACTTTTCAAAATTAGGTTTTATCACATTTTAATTATCACTTTTCTTACTCTTTTTAGCTCTCATATAATTGTTATTTAACGTCCAAAAGCAGCATAACCATTAAATATTTCAAGTTAAAGGAGACTTGAACATTTTTTTGGATCATTTTTTTTTTCTTTGAAGGGTAAATTTCGCAACTATAGCTGAATTTGAGCTTCTCATAATTGGAAATCCTATTTGGGGGGTTAATATCTTACGAATATGGTTTCATAAATAATTAGTTCATTTACATTAGATTCAATATTCTTAATAAATACAAACACAACACAAAATGAGCATAAGATAACAGTATTAATGCAAATAAGAAAATATTTTGCTTTAGTTATCATAATTTCAAGTTGGTTTTTCAGGTGTGATAGGATATTATGGCGGGGAAATGGCATTGAACAACTATCATACATTCGTGGAGAGTCAAGATTCTCCGATCACCGACCAGTGTGCTCCGTCTTCTCGGTGGAGGTAGAAGTAAGAACCAACAGATCAACAAGAAGCAACAGATTCAGGAAGGGTTATTCTTGCACTTCTCCAAGACCGGACTTTGATGACTGCATACCTAAGAGACACAGTTTCTATGACTAACTCATTAATAATTTCTTTTAAAGCTAATATACATTTAAAAGAATAGCTACCTCAACCAATTGTATATTCTTGTTTTCACTCTTCTTCACCATTACATAATGCTTGTATGTTAATACAACATATCTATACATGAACTACATTTTTGTCCTAAAGTACCTTTATAGAGAAATAAAGGAATTATATCTAATTTACAATAACACACTGATCTTAGTAGGCAGAAACTATAGAGATATACATCAGAATCAAAACTTCAGAATTACCCTTTTGAGCTTTTTTTGCTAATTATTAATCACTCATATCTCGAATCCCAAATAGAAGTAGCTTGATCATTTGGGCTAATATTAATGTCTATACTTGGGATTTCACTTGAACTTGCGTTTTTCATTTGGACCCCAATTTCTGCATCCGGATTTGCTAGTACATCTTTCTTCATTAGTTCATCCCACCAGCTAGCATAGTCTACGAAATTAGTAACAAAATCATCATGATTAACTTCACTCTTAATGACACTTTCTTCTGCTAACTCCATATTTAACCAATCAGCCACACTAAAAACTTTTGCATTATCATCAACTGACGAGTAATTAACACTTTCACCCTTCTCCACTGAATTATCTGAGCCTTTGCAACTTTCTTGATCTTCAGTACTTCTTGAGCTTGTTTCTTCTAAGCGATAAGCACGCTTTAATAACTCGTGTTCTTTTCTTGAGCTCTTGTCCACAAATCCAAAACCCTTTTCACTTTGTAAACAAAGACTGTTTTGGCAGGCATATAGTAGTGAATTATTATCACTACTAACCTTGTCTTCTGATGATGATGACTGATCAAACTCAAACTTCCTCTTCTCACTGCCACGCAAAGTGGGACCCTTTGAAACATGATCAACTTGATCATCATCATCATTATTCTCAGGAACTGAGATTTTGAGGCACTTTTTGGTGAGTTGGGAAAGGATCAACTCTTCTTGATTAACGACCTTGGACCAAAGTACAGTATCCTTAGCCGTCATTTTACCTTCCAAACACAATGACTGTCCGACCAACCTTCTCACACGGTCAAAATCAGGTGACATGTGTTTCAACACAGCAGCCAAGACGCTAACTTTCCATACCTTTTTAAGGGCATGGGGTTTCCTATAAGGTGGAACTCCTTGTTCTTGAGAAATTATCCCCTGCTCCCCCCACCAAATCTCCTTCCCTGTGGGCCACCATGGTGGGGCCAACCCCTTCTCGAGAGGAAATGTCCTCTGTGGAGGCACACAGTGTTCCATCATAGTGGAGAGAATTGACCCCAAAGTTGTGTCTTGCAAATCCTGTAGAAGAGGCATGCATGAACTTATGGGGTCTAATATCTCATCACTGGATCCTTCAAGAATATTAGTACTATTCTCCGGCGGCAAGCACTGCTTTTCGAAGATTGCGAGGGGGGCGGCTCGGTCGAATCTGATCTTTTCCTTCCACCATCCACGGAGGCTGTTTGATGAGCCGGTGACCGGCTTTCCCTGCTCGGTGACAATCCCATAAACGAAGCCCTTTGCTTTGCAAACCTCCATGATCTTCACCGTGTACTTGAGTATGGCGTCTTGTGCTCTTGCTATCTTTTTTCTTCGAGACGCTACTTCTCTCGCCGTCGACGACTCTGGTGAATGATGATCTTCGTGATCACGATCATCAGCACCATCAACGCTTGGCTTGTTTCTGTAAAGCTTTTGCATGAGCATCCGATCTTTCCACATGCGCCTCTTGAGCTTATCGTAGCTGATATCTTCATGATCTTCTTCTTCTTCTTCTTCTTCTTCTTCTTCTTCTTCTTCTTCTTCTTCTTCTTCTTCTTCTTCTTCATGATCTTCTCCTTCTTCTTTATTGGTTATTTCTAACTCTCTAAGGCTTGGAGGATCGAGGTCTTCATGGAACTTCACCATGTGTTTTCTTTTGGGAGATCAACTTATATATAACTTCGATTTTTGTGCATGTCATGTTCTTATATATATACATGTTGCATGCATATATATATATATATAGAGAGAGAGAGAGAGAGAGAGAGAGAGAGAGAATTATGATGAATATATATATATATATATATAGAGAAGGCGGTGGGGTTTTGGATAAGTAAACGTAACGACGGAGAGGGGTGGTACGTAAGTTTAATTCCTTTGGAGGTTTGTGAAAGGAAGTTACTAAATATAATAGATGATGATGAAGGAATTGAGTTGTGATGAGGTTGTGATCAATTAAGTACCTAGGAAATTGGAACTTGTTTATGTGTGTGTGAGCGATGTATTCAAACGCTGCGTAGCCCAGGCTACGAGACATGTTGGCTCTTACACATTGATAAGGGTCAGTCACACAGCAATAGTCTCGCAATTAGGTGAATGGTGATACCACCGCTTATGGTGGCATAATGGCGCAGGACAATCTAGCAGGTTCTCTCTTCTATTTTCTAATTGTTGTTTTTTATGAGGCTGTAATTATACTTCTCATTGGTGTATAAAATAAGACTTGGGCTTATCTGGTTTTGGACTTCCTGATACTACGAGAGCTTGGGTCAGGTTTCTTTTCCTTCTACGTGTGGTCATATAGAGCGCTAAAAATAATAATATGAATTGCATGTGATGACAAGTTGATTAAATATTTAGATCTATGATAGGTATAAATATAAATATACATATTAAAGAATGATGCATATATTTGTACACATACTAGAACATGATCAAGTACTACTTAGAAAAAAAAAAAAGAGTCTGATCAATTACTACTTTCTATGACCGGATCCAGCATTTTCTATGGTTTGGTTATGCTTCCTAAAATACTAAGCACTCTTATTCATTTCAATGGGATTAAAATGAACAAATACAATACAATCTAGTAAGACCCACCATTTTAATAAGTGATCAGAATATGTACATATATAGAAGTATGAATACCATTTTCCAACCTAAAATAATATACACGTTTCGTGGAATAATTTTAAATGACTAAAAGCTAAAATAGGAAAAATACTTTAAATATCCTCCCTATTCTTTTGTTTGTCTCGTTTATTATGCAAATGTAAAACAAAAATGCACATCCCTCTTTAAAAAAAAAAAAAAAAAAGTCTAAAATTTAATCCTTTTTTACCGGTCAAATTTTTAAAAATAACCAAAAACTCTCAATAATTTGTATTCTATATTATTTCAAACGTTAATTTACTAGCTAGAAAGAAATTACAGAAAATTAATTCAACAAATACTAACTTTAAGGCCCCATTTTTTCACCGGTTCGAGTGAAAAATTTAAGTTGAAATTTAAATTTTTGTGAGAGAAAACAATATTGTAATAAAAAGGTTGAATTATGAAAAAAAAGGAAGATTTTCAATCTTTTTATTCAAGTTTTACAGAAGAACGGAACTGAAGAGATTTCGTAGCTATAAGTAATTTAGTATATTGGAGGAGAAATGACACAGAGAGTAAATAGTTTTCAATATATACACCAAAAAACCGATCAATGTTATTTCAAACAAGAAAACAAAGGAAACGATATAGAAGTTAAATCTTTTTAAATGTAACTAATAAGATCTTTAAGAGCCATCTCTTTCCATCTTACTTTTTTCTTTCTCTCACTCATCGTCATATATTCCTAATATGCCATGTCCCACACAGAAGCACTCAAGCTTTGCTGATCATCTTGATCATCATCATGTGTAATCTCCTGCAAAATCGAGCTTCGATTTGAACCCGACCTTTCGCCTTCAATCCTAAACCCTTCATCCAAGTCTAAACTCTCAAGGATATCTCCCCAGCTTCCACTTTCTTCCTTGAATATTTTATTACCAAAATTTTCCTTGGCAAGCTCCATATCCATCCAATCAGACACACTTACGAACCCTTCCTTATCATGATGATCATCAGCCAAAGAAGCCACGAGCAATTGATCAATTTCCTGCAAGGAAATATCAGCCGTCTGATCTTTATAACTACTTTCTTTGTCACTGATCTTTTCCTTCTCCACATTGTAAACACACTCCGATTCATGATCTCTCCTCGAGTTTCTGTCCACAAAGCCGAGTCCTATTTCCCTCTGCGGACAGAGAATGTTCTTGCAAAGAAACGACGCCGTGTTTACGGTGCTTGTACGCCCAAACACGTTCTTTCTCTTGCCTTTATGATGATCATCTTGATGTGGGCTTGATGTTGATGAGATTGTGAGGCATTTCTTCGTAAGCAGCGAAATAGCTTCTTCCATGTTGACGATCTTCGACCAAATCGCGGTGTCTTTTGCCGTCATCTTGTCTTGCAAACACTTGGACTGGCTCACCAACCTCCTCATCCGATCAAAATCCGGCGACATGTGCTTCATAACCGCGGTCAACGCGCTGACTTTCCACACTTTTTTTAGATCATGAGGCTTCTTGTACGGAGGAGGGCCGTTCTCTTGGGCGGTGTTCCCCTGCTCCGCCCACCAGAGTTCCCTCCCCGTGGGCCACCACGGTGGTGCCAAGCCCTTCTCCAGCGGAAACCTCCTCTGCGGTGGGATGCAGTGTTGCATCAGAGCGGAGAGGAGGGACCCCAGAGTTGTGTCCTGTACGTCATGAAGGAGCCGCATGCAGGAGGTGGGGTCCACCACGCCAGCTTCACCGGTAATTTCCGGCTGTAAGAAATCGGCGATGACGTTCGGAACGGACTGGTCGAACCGGACTTTGTCTTTCCACCATTCTCGGAGGCTGTCCGATGAGCCTGTGACCGGTTTCCCTTTTTCCGGAACAATCCCATAGACGAAGCCCTATAAACGAAGAAAAACAGATCATGAAATCTGATGAAAATTTTGAAATAGGAATTATGCAGCTCAAGCACATAAAGGAAGGGATAAAAATAGCTACGCTGCAGAGACAGGAAAAAAAATAAAAATAAAAATAAAAGGTCATAGAATTATTAGGAAATATGATCGGCTGAAAAACTAAACGGAGCTCTTAATAGTATTGCATATTTCTAAACGCTACAATATGTGACTATAATCATATCAAAACAAGAAAAAATATAATTTAAAGAAACTCTATCGGTGGGATATTTGTGGGGGAAAAAAAAAGTGCAACCTAAAACATAGACCAGTTGGTGCGTGTCATTTTGTGATTAATGTAAGAACTAATAGATGACTAGTTTGATTTTTTTTTTTTTTTAATATATAAGAAGTTGAAGATCATGACTGTCCAAAAATTTGCTTCTCATTTGATTATTAATGGTGTGGAACAATAATACCTGTGCTTTGCAAACCTCCATAATCTTCACCATATATTTGAGTATGGCGTCCTGAGCCCTGGCCATTTTCTTCCTGCGCGACGACTCTTCTTTCTCCGACGATTGCGTCTGATCTTCTCCGAGGTGTTTTCCTTTCTCCTTAAGCTTCTGCATTAGCATCCTGTCCTTCCATATCCGCCTCTTCAGCTCGTCGTATCCGATATTTTCCGATCCTTCTTCTCGTTCCAGCTCTGCTTCCACCATTTCTTCTTCTCCGGGGCTCAGAGGATCAAGTTCTCCATGGAATTCCACCATATTTGACTATTTTGTTCAATATATGTGTTGAGTAATATTACAAGCACTAGATAGGAGTTGTCAATAATTCTTCTACTAATATAGCAGTCATGCATATGGGACATATATTCATGTCATGTTAGACTATGTATATGTATCAAGTATTATTGATACATTAAGCAAGGAAGAGAAAAAAAAAATTTAAAGGCGGTGAAAGAAATGAACACGATAACTGACCAAATAACGAGGGTACGTAAACTTTGGAGGTTTGTGAAGCGAAAACTAAGAAGATGGTAACGAATGGTGATGTAAGGACTCATAAATGGACATCATACGAGATCGTTAGGACATGGTGGGTATTGTACTAATGGGTAGGCAAATCCACAGGTAAGAGTAGTACAGAACTCGTGCATGATTTTATCATTTTGTGTACATGCAAGACACGTGTTTGGGTATGAATAAAGAGATCGTCAGGTATACGTATATGTGTTCGTTTGGGATAGATTTTGCTTGTTCTTGTAAGGAGTAGAAAAAGACTAACATAAGTTTGAGCTTTTTTAATAGTGTTTATCTAGCGTTTGAAATAGTACTTTTATATTTAAGAATAGCTTTTAAATTTATTTGAGTAAAAAAGTCAAAAATACTTGTTATAAAAAGTAATGTAATAAATGGATATTGAGCTTTTAAACTTGTTTGGATAAAAAAGTCAAAAACACTTATTGTCATAAAAAAATAATGTAATAAACGGATATAGATGATATATTTAATTTAGGAAAAATTTCATATTGGTACTCTATGTTTTAACATAATTATCTTTTAGCACCATGTATTTTTAGTAATGTTAAATTAGTACCTCGATGTTTTAAAAAATTATTTTTTAGTACCTTAAGGTTATTTTTTAGAATGTAAAATGTCAAAGTTACCATTCTCATTAATTAACCAAAAACTAATAATAAATTTAGAAAACTTCTGAAAAACTTTTTAAACATTTAAAAATTAAAAATTAAAATAATGCTTTAAATTAAAATAATTTTTTGAATTTTTTTCTAAATTTAGTAGTTTTTAGTAAAATAATGAGAATGGTAACTTTGACATTTTACATCCCAAAAAATGACCAGAAGGTACTAAAAAATAATTTTCTAAAATGTCAAGGTATCAATTTAAAATTACTAAAAATAAAATATACTAAAAGACAAGTATGCTAAAATACAGGGTACCAATATGAAATTTTCCCTTTAATTTATTGTTCACAAATAAAAAGTTAAAAATGTAAATAAAAAAGATTTTCAAAAGTATTTTTTTCATAAGCACCAAGGAGATGGTTTGTTCTGAAAGTACTTAAAAGCCAAAAATACTTTAAGGTTGTTCATCCAATCAATTTAAAAGCGGCTTTTAAACTAAATAAACCAAAAAAAATATTTTTTTAAGTCAATCTAAACAGGTCCTAAGTATCTTGTAGTAGTAATTGACCTAGCTCCTCACATAAGGAATTAAGGTGAGATCAGAGATGCAATAGTTTAGGGTGAAAGCAATTAGCCCTTGTGACTTATGGAACGACTTAATAAAGTACATCCTATGGAGGAAATGTGGATTAGCTGTTCTTTTTCCTTTTAATTAGTTGAAACTAGGTACGTATGCGCGCGAGATCTATAGAAAAATTTAATAGCATTATTTATATTTGATTCATAAATCATATTAAATTTATACAAAAATTAGAGGAGAGAGAGAAAAGAAAGTCAAAATGAAAAATAGATTCATTAATGGGAGGATTTTTAAAAAATTAGGAATGGATCGATATATATGAGAGAAAATTATTTAAATGTGAAATTAAAGAGAAAAATATGTTTCTCACATTTGGAGAAGAAAAAAATGTATAATAAGACAAGAGTGAGGGAAAAGTAGAAGGAAAAACAAAACTCTCCGCGTGCGAGAAGTTTTTCAAAACAGTGGTTAATCTCAAAATTAACTATCAAAAAATAGAGGTTGTCTCACTGTGTTCATAAAGTTGAAAATAACAAACAAACAAAAAAAATTTGTTGACAAAAAGAGGAAAAGTAGACAAAAGAAGGGAGGAAAAAAAAACAGAAAAAAAACTCCAATGAAAGATTTCGTTGGGAACTAAAGGAGAAACACATTCTTGTTTAGTAGATCTAGTATAGATATGTAGATAGTACAGATGCAAAAGATAATACAAGAGAAAGAGAATTTATAAAAGCAAACAAAGCAAGGAGGAGAAAAAGAAGACAAAAATACCTATTACAAACTTTCCAAAAGAATTGTTGAAAGGAAAAAAAAAAAGAAAAAAAGAGAAAAAGGAATAGAAAAAAAAAAGAACAAAACCCAAAAGAATAAAACAAACAACAAAAGACAAAGGTGAAAAAAAAAACTCGAGATAACGTTTCCTCAAAACGATAACCCTCAGCTATTTATTTACTCTTTGGTAGGGCAGGTAATCTGGATAGCGATACAATAACACGACTCAAAATCCGTATGAAGTGAGCAGATTTAGGTTTACTACAAATAGTTCTCGGTCATAATCAGGTTGACACGATTAACACAATTAATAAATTAGTTAAGTTAAGTGATACGAATTGACACGATTAACTATATGTGTCATCTGCAATTTAATGATATGTGATATAACATGAAAGTTTCTATGACATATTAAATACAAATAATGTGAATTTTAATATTTATAGGTAAAATTCATTTATTTTTCTTAAAGGAAAAGATAAATTGACCAATAAATATGTTAAATTTGTCTTGAACTTGTTAAATAAGTCATTATTATATTAATTATTTGTTCAATATATTAATTTAAATGGGTTATACAGGTTGATACGATTAACATGATTAATAAATGGATTGTGTTTGGGTTGATATTTTTGACACGTTTAATAAACAAGTCTTGTTTGAGTTGATGTTTTCTAACACGATTAATAAACAAGTTGACACGAACACAACCGACTAACACGAATTGTCACCCGGCAACCCCCAGTTATTTATTCTTTGTATAAATGTAAAGATTTGTCTTGACACAGTTTTGAGAATCAACATTATTTTGTATTTGTCCTAATTTGGGAGGTTGTTTGGAATATATTAATATTTCCCTCAACTATTAGGCATATGTTATCCAAAAAAAACAATTAGGCATATGTCAACTGTCAGATGTTTTTCCTCAAAAAACAAAGGGCCTGTTCTTTTGGAGTGTAACTTGAGTGTAGTTTTTGAGTTGAATTTGAGTTATAACTTGAGTTGAAGTTGTAACTTGAGTTTATGTTTGGTTGTGTACATTTGAGTTATGGTTTGAGATAAGAATCTTTTTTTGAGTTTGTGTTTGAATGAGTCAAAACTTAAATTTACATTTAGATAGTATTTTAATAAAAACTCAATGGTGATGAAAAATTTTAATAGGGTATATGGGTGGGGTTTTATTCGCCTTTTCGTTGTCAACGCATAGGAAAAAAAATCATCTCAATCAGGATTAAAACGAAAAAGTTATAGCATTTTTAAGAATAGACAAAATAATGTTCATTAATTTGAGGTCGAGTTTCTGAACTCGAGTTGAAGAGGACACTTGAACTCGAGTTTTAATCCCAAACTCGAGTTCAAACTCGAATTCAAACTTAAAAAAACATGAACTTGAATAAAGTTGAAACTCAAATTGTCTTTTTTGAGTTTTTTGGGCAGCCGAACACACCCAAAAGGATCAGAATTATGTTGTTTGCTTATTGAGGACTTAATGCGACCATAAAACCATAAAAACCTAACGCAACACGAGTGTATTAGGGATCAAAACAGTAATCTTTTTTATTTTATTCTTACCACTAGTAGAAAAAAAAAGGATTTTAAATTGTTAAAAACTGTTATCAAAATATTTCAAGATGAATAGTGTAGTGAAATTGGAAGTCATAACATTTCACATGGCTTTTAATCTTCATGAAATGTGTGTGTGACATATCACGTGAGTGCCGATGCAACGTTATGACAGTTTCTTGAAGAATCATCATTAAAAGTTTTACAAATTTTTAAAAGAAATGGTTTTAGCCAAAACTATTCCGTTGCTCAAACAACTATATACCCTATTATATATCATTAATTTCTCCAAAAAATTTCGCATCTCGTCTCATCATCATCAATTAACATTACCCAACTCTAAATACTTAAACAAAATATAACTAATACAAATAAATATATGTATATATAGTGAAGTTTTAAATAATTATGTTTTTATCAGTGATTTCTATCAAATATAAAAATTTAATAACATCACGTAATAAAATATGTATATATATATATTATATAACAAATTCAAATCCAAACCATAAACAAAATTCTTATAAGAAAAGAATACGTACCTAGATACACAAATATAATTGTTGGGACCCCACAGATCCGCAGGTATGACGAGGCGGAGAAAGAGGACAGAGTATCCCCTAAGTATTTTGGTGATTAAGCCCTTTTTTTTTTTTTTTTTTTTTTTCTTTTTTTTTTTCTGCTGATTTGAGTTTTATTATAATAAAAAACTCTTAAAAACAGTCACATTTAATTTTTTTATTACAGTAAAAAACTCTCACACAACATCACATCTCAATTCAAATTAAAAATTTAAATTAATGAACCGAATAAGCCAAACGACAAAACCCAAATAAAAAATAATAATAATAAAAAGTACTGCTGAGGCTAAAGACGGAGGAATGTCGTGGCAGGGTCTCCAAGGTACCCTTTTTTATAGAACGATCACCATGGCTCTTGATATATATAACCTGCAAAACAAGGGAAAACATCCAAAAAAGAAAATCGCAAGAAATCGAAGAATGGTGGAAGGAGAAGTAAATAATTCTCTTTTTCTCTCTTCTTATATTGTTGTTCTATTATTGTGTCCGGAGAAAACAGATGTTATTTATATAGGAAGAAAGGAATCTGTGTGGATGCTCCAGAGGCGCGTGATTTTGGGCTTTAGCAGGCCTTCCATATAATTCAATTTTCGGCTCTAAAACGGATTAGCCTTCGGAATTAGG